TAAGGATCAAATTTTATGTATTTTTGTCTCTTAGTTCTCATGCCTTTGACATTCAGGTTTGCAAACTTTTCCCCCTATCAAAGGGCTGTAACATCTTTTCTTCCTTATTCAATGAAAATTGACATTCTCATGTGATAATGTGACTCTAGGAGCCAAGACTTTAAGAAAAAATGCCAAATACCACACTATCTATGGGAATTTGCAACCTTATTACTAATAATGGGCCTCTCACACTTCCCTTAAAGTCTCCTGAGATTTGTGTGTTTCATGTAAATCCACCGAGTTTCTTGTGATCTTTCAAGGTGGGGAGACAAGAGAGAAGAAAACTTTTTTCACAATATTGCTTCCTGAGGAGAAGAACTGATTACAAACATGGATCCAGCCTCCATTTTGTCTTCTTTAGGCATCAGATATTTTTTAGTCCAAGGTTTTGTAGTATGCAGGCTTGGTTTTCCTCTGCTCTATTTTGCTTTGCTGGTAGAATAAAGAATTTGATTTAACATTATATGCCTGGAAAAATAAAGCATTTAATTTACATTTTACAAGGCAGTTATTGCAGGTTAATTAAATATCAATTGAGTGTTATAGGCCATATTAAGATTTATTAATAACAGAGCAGATAAATCTCCTTGGAATTCAATTATATGAAAATCACATAAAAATATATGTGCACTTTTATTCATATAATACGTAAAACTTGTGAATTACAGTGTAACACTGTACAGTGAGTTGATTAATGGAAATTAATTGCTAAAATAGAGGAAAATCCGTTTAAACTTCCAGGATATTGGAAGCACGGTGCCCATGTCCTTGGAGGGCTGAGGACGTGCTCGGCTCACTGCAGAGCTGCCTAGGGATGATGCTACCAGGGCATAAATGTTCTTTATGTGCCTTAACTCAGCTTTTTGGGATTGGGAGAGAGAATGACTTTCTTGCAAGTATTGCCCCGTGGAGCTAAGGGGTACAAGTGAAGGCTGCGGTGACGGAGAGCGGGGCAGAGCCGTGGCAATGGGCATGGCCAACGCCGACGTTGCGTGTGGATCCCTGTCTCGAGCCACAGGTGAGCTGGCTCTTTGCAAGGGTGTGACCAGGACGTGATTTTTCAAGCTATTTCTAAACGTTCATTAAGGCATTTACCCCTGGAAATGCTGTTAGAAAGGGATTTGCTTCCAAAGCACGTGGCTATGCCAGGTGTTTCCCCTGGACTGGTGAGTGGAGCGAGGGCCCTTTGGGCAAGGAGGGTTTTGATGCTGCAGACGAGGGTCACACGCTGGATTGAGAAAAGATCTGTGTGATATTTGCCGAACAGTTGAGGCCTGGCACGCTGCCATCTGTTCCCTGCACATCCTGTGTTAAATACTGTCAATATGAGATTATGTTCCAATTACGGTACCAGACTGACTGGTTTAGCTCCTACCATGAATCTATTTTCCTTTATTACTATGCACTAACCCTGTGACTGATGTACCAGACACCAAAAGAGATGCGCTCTGCCCAGAGGGCAATGGCTAAAAGAAACATGCCTGGGGAAAGCAAGAAAATGCAGATGCATGAGTAACTGTGTTGAGATTTTCTTTTTAATTTGGGGATTCTTTGCTGGGTTGTGTTTTTGGCTTGAGTTTTAAGATTGCCAAACTTGCATTTTTTTTCCCGACATTGCACAAGTATAGAGACTTCCCAAAGTGTGTGTGTGTCAGGGGAGAGGAAATACGTTCTCAGTGCACACGTGGGAGCACCAGAGGATGGAAAAACTACGGGAAAATGAAGTTGCAGGTCTCATAGCTCCTTCGGCTTGCACCAGGGCTTGCAGAGGGATACTTGGCCACATTCAACAACTATCAGGTGTCTTTCTGCCCATGTCCTCCTCGCCCGACTGGTAGATGATGCCGGAATCCGTCTCTTCTGCGCTTCATCTCTGCTGCTCCCTGCAATAGTTGTCAGGGATATTAGCATTAAATACTTACTGCCTGGCTTAACTAAGGGGTAAGATAGGATTTAATTTGTATGGCTGAAATCCAATTATATAATGGAGCCCTTGGGGGAAGAAGTTATACCTGCTGAATCTCTTGGATGAGTAATTGTGCACAAAAGCTCCTCTCCTGAAGTAGAAACAGAGCTGAAAAAAAAAAAATTCTTCTCTTTTTTTTTGCTGCTGCTGTTACATAATAGGACTGGGACCCTGAAAAGAAAAAGCCAATGTTAACCCCATACAGGAGAAAGAATTAAAGCAGTGCCAGGAGAAAACAAGTTACAATCTGATAAAATCAAGGATCTAACAGGAAGTCTGCAGCAGCATTAGCTTTTATGAGCCAAAGGAAGCTTACTCATCTTTTTGGAAAACAACTCAGAGCCTTTGCTGCATAACTTTTTCCCCCACTTCTACCAGGAGCAGGGAAAGGGAATCCTGTCCTTGCTTTGGATGAAGCTTGGTAGATGAAAAGGTCTAGGAAGAGCTAAGTAGCTAACTAATTCAGGTCCTTTTGAAAGAGCCTGCACATAACTACCATTTAAAATACTTGCAACTAATCCTGCATGTCATCTGCATCCTGTTAAGCATCAAAATCAGTGGTGCTAATGAGCAGGACAGGTAAAGAAGCTTGATGAGGTTCCCAGCAAGGTTCCTGAAAGCAGGCAAGCAATGACACAACATTGATCTTTGGGGCAGGAGCAACCCTGTGCATCCCAGCTGGTATCTTCAGTAGCTCCAAATCCCTTGGACAAATACACCAGAGGCTCTTAGTGTGACTGAAAGCATCAATTCTTCCACCTAGGCAGGCTTTTTAAAGGTCAGAATGTCATATTTCATTATCTTTTTAAAAACAGGAGCTAAACTTCTATTAATTTCTAGTGGGTTAGAAGTGGAAAAATTATTTCCTAGGTCTCTCTCATTAAATGACTGCATGGGGATAAAAAGGCGACCGCACGCAGCCAACCTAAGAGAGAAGTCCCCAAACCCAAATGCCACAGCCTGAGGACAAACCTGGCTGTGGAGGCTTCCCATCCATCAGCCTTGCTCTCCAGGTAGTTCTTTCAGTTCTTTTAAAACCAGTTAAAACAAAAACTGTTGCAGCCCTTGAAATCTGAAGGCGAAGTTACCCGTATCACATTTGGACTTGCAGCTCCACCCAGTGGATCTTTTTTGGCAATATGAAATAGAGATTTCAGAGGCGTTAAAACCTGTTGAGGTCAATGCTGCTATAGCAGGGTGATGTTCTGACAATGCACAAGAGAAATCTGATATATTTTTCTTTGTCAAATTCTCAGCACGCTGTCTTCTGGCATTTGAATAATAACAGGAAATTACAAAAATGGTTGCTAATGAAATAAAAAAGCCAACCTCATTGCTCCCTTCCTCAAAAGCCTCCCAGCACATACGAGTTGAGTATAAAACATAGGGATCTGATAATTTGCAGGCTTTGTTTCACCTTCCCAGCTTCTCTAGGAGCAGATTGCAGTTTTTTTCCAGAATTTTATTTGTTACTTGGAATTATTCATGAGCTACCAGAGCATGTAACTTTTGGATTGGGAGCTGGTTTCTCAAACAATCCTCATGTGATTGTGAATTTCAATGAAGTTAACTTGGCACCTCGCACAACATCACTCCGCTTTCATTACTGGGTAATTACTGTAACTAACAAGAAGCAAATTTTGATCATTTCTATCAAACATGTCGTGCTGAAACTTGATTTTTCCATTACGATGAGGGCTCTTCTCATTAAAACAAGCCTTTATTGTGTGCATTTTCATTGCAGGAAAGCTTGAGAGAGGCTTGCACATTCATAATACTGGAAAGTACTTTAAACAGATTGGTTTAATAAGATTAATGTTAGATTTAAGCAGGTATTGTAGAAATTTCCCACTTCTCCAAGTCGAAGCAAAAACTAAAATCTCTGTTGAGCTTGTTATAGCTTTACCAATCTCTCTGTGTGTCCTAAAAATAGAGGAGCTGGTAACCTAATACAAGCCATGGGCATCATCATGCTTCTAATTTTTGTTGCAAATTCTCTGTGAGTGCCCGTCCCATCTGTGTTAGAAAAATCTCGGTGCAGCCCTGCTCCCTGATGGACTGCGCAGCACCGGCGTGATGGAACGAGCTGAAATAACCTCTCGCTCGTGCAGTTCAGGCATTGCTTAGCATAAATTCCACTCCGGAGGCCTTTGCTACGGTTCCTGCCTGGCAGTGTGGTGGTTGAACGCAGGATTTAATTTGTTTTGCCTTGCCCGCTAGCATGCCGTGGGGTTATAATACTGCAGTTATAACACTGACTATCTGTAGCACATAGGCCTGCTTGTAGTTAAGAAAAACAGAATTTTGGAAAAAAAAGTGGCTCTGGAAAAAGGAAAGTGTGTTTTTTTTTGTTTTTTGTTTTTTAATATTTCTGTTAATCTTAAAAGTTTGAAGGATCTGCCTGGATTTTCCTGCCCTTTCCCAGGAATTATGATGGAAGAACCCACGAGCGTATTAGCCAAATAACCGCATCCTGCTTAGCTGCCTGAACTCAGGATTGGGAGTTTGGTCCATTTGCCTCATGTGGAAAGAGATGGAGGTTCTTTGGGCTGTGGAACAAAACTCCTTAGCCAAACTCACAATGTGTTTGCTGAGTGGGATATCTCTTCTAATCATATATCCCTTGTCCCCATGGGTGATTCCAGCACACGTGACATTGCTGGAGTGAGCAAGGCCAGGGAGACCTGCATCTATCCCTGCATTCCTGTGCCTACCTCACAGCAAGAGGATGCTTTCAGATGCACCATTTTTTTCCACATGGCCCTTAAAACAGTGGATTTTTTTGCATGACAAGGCTATGTACCTGCAGCCAGAGAGTTTTGCTTGTTCTCCACCTGTACAGGGACTTGGAAAATTTGCAAAATCCTGTGTAGGCTCTGTGTGTGTGTTCACTCCAAAATACAAATGAAACCTGCTGATGTGACAAGCTCTCTCTTTCTCCAAGCCACGCTACTTAGTTCTCCTTTCCATGAAGCTGGTGGGATGACACGTTTCACGCAGATGTTCCTAGCCACTGCGCAGTCCTCTGCTTACTGGCTGCCCAGCTGAAGAGGGACGTGTACCCAAAGTGCCTGGTGGCCTTGGCTGTCTCATAGGAGAAGCTGGTGACTGTTCGTGTGCAGCAAAGGCAATTTCAGGGAAGGCTGCAGCCACCAGGCGGGATGCAAGATGACCTTGATTATTCTGTCCAAGTGTATTATCAAGCACATCTTCCAGTGAGGTATGTGAGAGCCCAGTTGGACAGAAGGGTTCATGGAAGTCAAGAGCTGATGCCTGAACAGAAGCACTTTTCTTGCAGGAGTGCCCATAGGTGTAATACACCTGTCCTGCAAGTAGGTCTGGTTCGAGTTGCAAATTCCTGGCTGCGAGAACGTGCATCCACGTGACGTTCCCTGGAGAAAGAGAGAGGGGGAAAGGGATGGGAATGGAGGAAGAGCTGATTTTGCCTGCTTATTGTAGGCGTGTGTGAACGTGAACCTTTGGTGCCCACTTTGAGCTGGACAATTAATGTTCGTTGTGACACAGACCAACATGAAGTGAAAGGGCAGCGCTTGGTAGAGCAAAAAGGATTAATCACAGGGCAGGCTCCCAGGGTTTGTTCCTGGCTCTGCTGCAAGACTTTGAACAAGTCTCTTGATTTATCTAGGCCTAACTCTTCCCTAACAGCATTTTAAGACTCCTGTTATGTGCACTTTTGGAAGGAGACATGTAAGTGAAATCCCCAGGAGTAACTAAAACTCTGCATGATTTAACAGTGAATTATACTCCCTTGCAATGTGTTCAGCAACAAAACAGATTTTTCCTATAGGTTTTGTAAGCAACACATCTTATACTCTCTCTAATCAAGTAGCAGAGCTCCCTTTTTCAAGCATTGATTACCCTAAATTTACAAATTGCCTTAGTTTGACTTTGTTTAAATGCAAGGAGCCGACCACGTTCCGCAGTATGGGTTAAAGGCTCTGGGTGGTGGTTCCATTTGCACTGGGGATGGGGAAGGATTGGGCAGGGGTGGGGAGGGGATGTTTGTGTGGAGCACCATGAGCATCAGCTTGGATGTGTTGCCGCTCATGCCCCTTGGGGCACTGTGATGAGCCAGCAGAATATCCTCTCAAGAAAGAATTGGGATGGATTTTCCAAAATCCCTGTTAGCATTCGTCTCTTAGGTCTCAAGGACTAACCCTTTAACAAGGGGTGCATGTGCCCACATCCAGTTTTAGAAATGACTTAGATGTGCTAATGACCAAATTCCGCAGCCTTTCAATGAGACTAGGTTGTCAAATACATTCTGAAGAGGATGGAGGATTGTTTTTGCTCTCAGGACTTCTTTTCATAGGCCAGGCATATTAATTTCTGTGGATTTGGATGCTTAAGTACTTCTCAGAACTGGGCTATGCCTTACTTGTGAATATGAAATTTAGGCTTATAGGTCATCATGTCTTAAACAGCCTTTTCTAGCTGGGCTTGAATTTCTAGAGCCGAGTGACTCAAGCCAGTTGTGTCTAGACTGGCTGCCTGCAGAGACAGAACTTCACTTTGCACCAGTTCCCCTCGCTCACACGTTTCCGGGGTCTGAGCAGCCTGTGTAGACACAGCCACGCTTGAACTCAGTAAGGAGCCTCACAGCGGTGTGTATCACACTGCAGATATCTCCAGCTGACTAAAAATTCAGTCTAAACCTTCCACTCTCCGTCTTCAGCAATATCAGTCCAGTTCTCAAGGCCCACATCCTGATCCTCCATGCACGACTCTGCAGATCCAGAACATATCCAGATCTGAGTCCTGAGCAGGAGTGTCGATTGTGAAAGTCAATTCTAGCAGTCAGTGGCATGTAGTAAAAATAATCATCCAACCTCTAGCTTTGGCCAGTGTCTTTGTATTGCTTCAGAAAGTGGGTTGATAGAAGTAGACCATCACCTGCCTGCTGGATTGACTCACTGTGAAATGAGATGTGAGGCGTGTGTGAAAATACGGTCTTGCCTAAAGCCAAGAGAAACTTGAGCTTGTCACAAAACTTGAGCAATTACTAAAAACTCATCCGTGAACTTCCAGATTTGGCTTGGAAGACCTGCTGGTTTTCTCTGGACATGAGTAGAGTACAAAATAATGGGCAGGTGGAGGGATCATCGGGGGACATGTGATTGTAAGGATTACCCTTGAGTTTGAATCCAAAACTGTTCTCAGAGCTTAGAAGAGCAGGATCCTGCAAATGGTGGGCAGAGCCAGGAGATGGAGTCGAGTCATATGTCTTTCCACCAATTCTCTTGACTAGTGGTATCCACTGATAAAAGTTTAGGCTGGGTTTCAGAGGTGTTATTCCCCAAAGTGAAAAGCGGCAAAGAAGGCTTTTCCAGAGCAGGCAGGAAAGGAAAAACATGTCTTTTTCTTGGAATCGCAACAAAAAAATCTCCATCTGACTTGCAGCTCCATAGTCATTTGTTCTGGAGATCTAGAGTGTTGGAAAAGATCTGCTCAGCTTTACCTGAACATGGGCTCTTGTGAAGTGTTGAGTCCCACTGCAGCAATGGAGCTTATGTAGACAATGTATGGGATGCTCAGGATGCAGCAGGCCCGTAACACGTTCTCAGGACCTGCGGGGCATGTTGCAAGGACAGATATCAACCCCCTCACCTTGGCTTCAGGTATGCAAGTCAACAGATTTCCAAACTCGGATTCTGACTTGGCCCAAGATCCCTTTTTTTTTTTTTTTTTCCTGAACAGATGTAAACCTGTGTGTCCAAGCTGCAGTTCCTCTGGTGCATTTGTACACACTTGGATGGCTTAAAATATGCAAGCAGCAGCTGCATTCAAAGCTGTAATATGACTTAACCTCTGTGACTATTAACAACTGACATAACTTGGCCTTAATAGTTACTAAAAAAGGATGTCGAGGAGGTCTTCAGATAAACAGAACGAAGCTTCGTGTTTTCCAGCTTTTTTCTTTCAAGGCCAGTCTGTCAAGAGGTGAACCATGACAAAAGACTTACTGTTTTCGTTAGCATATATTAGTCCTCAAAAGTTCTGCAATGGAGCAGGGACTATGGGGTGAAGTGCTTGCGACAGAGTCCTAGTAAATGCAAGACTACATAAAAGTGGGGGCAGTGTACAAATCTATATGAAGTGTGGCTGGTTCTAAAGCATGGTTCAGATTGAACATGGTTGAGAAAGGTAGACGTTTCTTGTACTATATTTAATGTAGCCCACTGCTGAGTCTCCCCTGTGAAACAGGGGAGTAGAAGTTTCGTTACAAAAGTCCAAAGACAAGTTTTGTCATCCTTTTTGTAGATAGCATTTATTTCCTTCCAGGAGCACTGTCTGCATATGGGAATAAAAGTTGATTTTGCAAGAATGAAGGTGATAAAATCCAGAGTCAATATGAGCTTGTAATGATTCAGCCCTAGTTGTTTTGTGCATGTTAGGGATAACCTCAAAAGTGGCTGATTTCCTATCTTGGTTTTACAGCTTCTCAAGTTGCTTGAGTGGGAGCTGTTTGTAAGTGGTTTGCTTTGGTTAATGTCTTAACCAAACAGCAGTCGGGTTAACCACTACTTAGGGCAGCATGTATGTTGTTCTGGCTGAACCTGTGGGTCTGTGTGTGGTTTTTGTGGGGCTGGCTGGGGGTTGTTTTGCTTTGTTTTAATGCTTCATGACTCCTCCAACAAGGGTTTTAGCATCCCTAATTATTTTGATTCAAGTTAATCTGCAAGTGACAACAGCAGAACAATGGCTGCATCTCCAGGCCCTTCAAATCTCCTAAGACAGATCTTTAAGGAAGCTGCTCATAGGGTTGGTTCCCAGAAATCTCCATACTATTTACACACGGATAACCATGCTCTGCCCTTGAGCCCTGCTGAGGATCTTGATCGGAAGGTTTGTGGTTTATCTGTTCCCTTTGTTGTTGTTGAGGGCCCAGGAAGTCCCAGGCTGAGGATGATTTCTGAGGGTGCGAATCTATATGAACACCCAGTGGAAAATAATCTATTCACTTCTTCATTAGCCTATCACAGTACACAAAGTTAATTGAGAACCCTTGTAGAACAAACACATCACTGGAAAAAGCTGAGTTGAAATTCATTCAGCTTAACAAAAAGCAGTTTAGAAAGTCTTTAAGTGAATAGATGGAAAAAATAATTCTTACAGGAGAGAATTCTTCACTCTAGTCAAGAAAACTGTAACAGGATTCAGTAACCAGTGGTTGAAACTTAGGAGAAAATCAAAACAGAAGTCTTTTCTTCTTTTTTTTTTTTAGAAAAAAAAAAAAGTGGCTGACTTCTGTTAATGTGGTAATAGCCACATTAATATTATTATGCATTGTTATGGCTTGCTGAAAGGCATGATAGATAGCCCATTAAGTTGGAGTACTTAAATGTAGGCAAAACTCCTTTGAATAGGCATAGTCAAATTTAGCTACAAATTATTGGGCTTTAGGCAGCCACTGGCCTGAGTTTCTGTGGCTTGAGCAATAGAAGAGTCAGCTAAAGGAATATACAGTGATCTTTCTTGGCCCTTTTTCCCTCCGCTATTAATTCTACAGCACATATATCAAATACAATTCATTTTTATTATTCTACCTGCTGTGATTTGAGGGGAAAGCTCTTTAGAATAACCTCTCAGTTCAAGATTTTAAGGAGTGCTAGCGAGGCCAGGAGCCTTGGTCCAGGGCTGTCTACGTGGACAGTCCAAGGGAAGGCAGAAACGCAGGACGGTTTGTGTTTGAGAATAAAGCTCCCATTAAGGCCCCTTGGACTGTGCTTCTCTAAAAGGCACTCTGAATCACTAGTTACTTTGGAAAAGCTTGTTTTGTGTGTGCTTTTCTGGGGGTAAGCACGAACATCTGCGAGGGGCTCGATCTGCTGAATGGGGGAGTCCTCCAGGTTCATTGCTCTGTGTAAAAACCTCACTAAAGTACCTTGCTCGTGGGGAGCAGGCAATGAAGAGGAAGATCTCACAAAGCCATTAAAAGGCAATAGGAACCCTGAGGCGCTGAATATGCTCGGTGCACATATCCAGGCTCTTAAAAGCATCTGGTTTTCAAAACAACAGCAGCAATGAAAAAGGAGGATGGGATTTAAATGTTGTCCTTGAATGCATCAGTAAATAGAAGCCCTAAGCTGTAATCAACTTTGATATATATAGATACATATATCTATATCTATATATGTATGTATAAAATTCCTTCCTTGTGGTTAACAACTATTTCAGTAGCTAATAGCCTGAGGTGACATTGGAATTGCTGCTGTTATAGGGATTTCATTATTTTTATAGCCTGTGCTTATTTCCTAGATTTATGAACAAATTTTCTTTAAGCCGATCTTGCACCTCACGTGAAATTGGCTGTTGGTGATGAGAAGAAAACGCCGAAGAGTAGCTCTCTCTTATGTGTGGCTTGTAGAGAACACAATCGTTGTGAGCTGTGTGACTATAATTCAAATAATAACATTCTCTTAAGAGAGCATGGATGCTGTTTAACTGGTATAAATATCTTTTATTGGTATATTGTGTATGCTTTTCTGGGAATCCTTGGAAAAGTTGGAAGCTGTCTGTCTCAATGGGATCATCTTTCTATTCTGCATTTCTGAACCATGTTGTACAACAGGATCTTGGCGTGAAACACGAGGGCAAGGAAGACTAAATCAGAGAGGACACCTATGTCATAGCTTCTCCTATGAGCCCATGCCAAGGTGCACAAATACGGTTCTGTATTTAATTGTTTTTTTAAAGAGCTTGCTCCCAAGGTTGACAGCCCTCGTTTCCCAGAAGGGCACTGTGTTTCTGCAGTCCACAAGAGCAGCTGTGTGAATGACCACGTGAACTCCCTGCATGGTGGCAAGGAGCAAATCGTAGTCTTGGAAGTCTCCCTTCATCACTGTCACACGGGTGGTAGCTGGAGAAAAATAACATAACCATAAGATGCAGAAATAATAATAATAAAAAAAATTACAAAAAAAAGGCATCCCTACCTTCTTCCAAAATGAGGATCCTGCCTGGAAACCTTTATTCTCTGCAAGGCAGGCTGAAGCACAATAATGCCTCACACTGCGGAGAAGATATATCCCTATTTTTTGAACCCCAAGGAGCCAGACTTTTATCTGACTTAATTCAGCATAGCGTTTTGCCATTTTACAGCAACTGTGGGGCAGAATAACTGCGGCTGAAATTGCAAATATCTAGCATGCCTCCAAGGGTCGTGCTGATCCACGACTGGAGCTGTTTGGACTGGGGATGCAACCACTTTGCAACCCGTGTGAATGAATGAAGCTGACCCAGGCAATTTCTTTAAGGCAGGTTTGCAGAGCTTGGTGGGAATAACAGCAAGCAAGCTCTGCAGACATTGCACAGGATTTTATTGAAATTGTAAGTACTATAGATGTGAAGGGCAAATAATGTAATAGGTTAAAAAAATAGGATTTTTTCCTTTTTTTGAGCCACTCAGGAGCTTTTTAAAGTTCCTATCGCTCCTTTTTTACCTCCCCTTGCTCAAAACAGCTATTCCATACCTGGCTATTGTTGACCTCTACTACTAATTTTCTTGCTTTGAGTGTGTTGTAACAGAGAAAAGAGAGAACTTCCTCATGTAGTCGAGGTGGATACACTTGCATGGGGCACCTTCATGTAGAGGAGCATACATGGACATCTCTGCTAGCAATTGGGGGTGACGAGAGCACAAGTAGCCTCATGGTGAGGGGATTTTGCAGTGGCAAGGGAAAGACGGTAACTAAGAGGCTTGAAGTGTTAAGCAGCTTTTTTGCATCAACTGTCTTGAGGCAGCTGGTGCAATTAAGAGCAGCAAGAGAACAGCGAGAGCTCAGCCAGAACCAGGGAGACTGCAAGGCAGAAAGCACCGAGAGGAGCTTGCAGATTGATGGGGCCTGAGGAGTGCTACGTGGGGCTGCTGAAGAACTTGAAGTTTTATTAGTGACTTAAGAGAACTTTTGGAGTAGACACTAGAAAATTGCAATAGGGCAGAGCCACCTCTGTTGTTTAGCGAGGAGGCAAAGTACACTAGGAAATTGCTGAACAGCTTAATTTCAAACCAAGAGAATTCAGACATACATCCTTAAAAAACATTTGTGAAAGCACCTGGGGATAATAAGAAGACTAGCAGCTGCTGACATGGATTTGTCAAGTACAAATCACATCAGGTAAATCTCTTTTGTTCTTGTGACAAGTTAACAGGCCTTATGGATATAGTAGGACAGGCAGATGTCATCTAGCTTGACTGTAGAAGAAGGGCTTTAGAAACTTGGTGTCATTCTCCGTGTCTCGTATGCTCATTCTCATCCAAAAAATATGGTCTACAGAAAGCCACAGTAGGGTGGGCACAAAAGTGACTGGATAACTGATCCCAGAGCATTGCCAGCTGTGACAGGGGCTTAGTCTTCAGGGCATATTCTTGTATTTGATTCGTTTTTGTTGTTTTCATAAAGAAATGGGCAGATTTGTTCAGCAGATAACATCAAACTGGGAGGGACTAGAGGTGTAGACTGGAGAATTAGCATGTGAGTTGATCAAAACCCATGGAGCAGTGGGCTGAAAAAAAAAAATAAGGCGAAATTTGATGGAGATGAAGAGAAGAGATTTGGCTTGGTTGGGAGAAATCAGCATGTCTTCCAAAAGAGAGTGAAGCTGAGCAGTGGTGGGTCAGGAGCTGAGCCTATGTCAGGGCCCTCCTGCCTTTGTGAAAGGGGCATAACTGTAGTGACAGGCATAAACAGGAGCATGAGCTGCAGGATAGAGGAACTAGATCCCCCTACAGCTGGCAGCCCATCCCAGCCCCTGGTGTTGCTTTCCCAGAGGAGAGCAGAGTGGTGTCCAGAGGGACAGAGACGGGGAAGGAAGAAAGAGGGTCTGGTTGGGCTAGTCTAGATGGGAACACAGTGTGGATGGGAAAGTCAGGCTTCGAATTGTGAAGATGGTTGAGCTTGGACTGAGCACCAGAGGGGAAGAGGGCAGAGTGGCCCAAGGAACGTGGTTGTATGGAAGGTAGGAAGGAAAATTGCTTATTTATGGTCACCTTCTCACAAAGAGTTCGCTCAGGTGGCAATCCTGCCCATAACACACTGTGCTGGCTGGAAGCCCAGTGGAGATGGAGGGGACTTGATAGCAGTTAATTAGCATCAAGCAATCTTTTAACTTGAGTTAAGGTTATCCCCTCTTTATTAATACCTCTTAATGAGTAGGATCTCCTCTAACTTTTTGTCTCATGGTAGGTAAGGTTGAAGGCCTGGCCAACACACAGAGCACTGCAGGCTGCACTGGCTTGTTTCGCGTGGGTAATCTTGAATCCAGTAAAACAGGTTGCTTCTCCCAACATAGCTCACTGTATTCAGTTCTGGTGAAATATTTAAAAGGCAGCTGTCAAGAATATGATCGAATGATTTTTTTTTTTTTAAATAAACCTGTTTAGTGAGAAACACCTTTTATATTTTCCAACTCATGCCCATCACAGTATGACTCCAGCTTCCTCTCAATCATTTCCACAATGTATTTCACAGTCTGTGCTGCAGACCCTGTGCCTGACTCCGTTAGTGTCAGGCCTCGTGCATGTTTAAGCCATGTTCTTGCCCTATACCAGTAAGGATGGCAGATCCAACAGAGTAGCAGCTGACTTTAGAAGAAGAGTTATGGCTGCTTCAGAGAAGATGCTCCTCTTACCTGTGGTGACTTTTTTTTTGACTTCTTCTCTTGCTACAGAAATCACAAAACTCTGACTTCTCTGATGTATTCTTGTTGAGTCACGAGCGCTCCAATCTTCTCCCTGATAAAAACCACATCTTCCCATCACCAGGTAGGCCCAGGTGCCATCCATTTTTGAAGATGTTTTTTATGGATGAGGATGAGCCACAACCTTGCCATATGTCAGTCCATCTTGTTTTCTGAACCAAGTCTCAAGTTTATTTGTTATATTTTGTTACTGGCTGACCATTAACTCCATCTAGTTACATACAAATTAAGCTTTGGTAGCGCATATACAAGTCCTGTCACAAAGAGGCAAAAATCTGGTCCCTCTGGCTCAGCCTTTCCCTCCTCCAGGGGATTAGATTGAGATTGGGAGCATCACCCCCAGCTTTCCATAGTCCGTGACCAGGCTCACTCCAACATTTTGGTGCCAGATACTTTCTATCCTGGACAGCCCCACTGCTCAGAGATGGTTGTCAGTCGTGGTAGGGCCAGACCTCTCTGGGGAGACTGCTCAAAGATGTGGGGGGCATAAAGATGTGCTCAGGACATCCACCTTTGGATATGAAGCTTCAAAAATGTGAACCTCGGCTATCAATTGCCAAAACCTATCAATTAGTCTGTTTCCCTTTGCTTTTTGCTCATAATTGGAGGACAGTAAGGCTAAGGGACCAAGATGGCCCTCATGCTAACTTGGAGCTCAGCAGACAAGGGCAGCCTCAAACATCCCAAGGAATTAATTTAATTTTTTTATCCTGAAGCTCCCAAGCTGTACAGTAGTGATTAATAGAACTGCCTTTCCTCGGAGGAGTTTTGCAAAGATAAGTCTATCAAGAGTTGGAGGTGTTTGGACACAAAACCAAGATAAATATACCCTGGGAGACCCAGAGAAGTGCTGCATGGGAGTGTTTGGCATCAAGTAACCTTGGGTATGTCCTCAGCAGTGATACCTAAATAATTAAATAAATACACAAATAGTCTGTATGTGTTGGAAGCCTTGACTCTTATGTCTAGCTTTGCTTCAGTATTTATACAGCTTAGCCTTTGCTACAATATTGGCATTTGCAGTTTGACAGTATAAGCAGACCATGGTTTGGTGTAGGAATTGGCCATGATTTATACATTTCTTGGTTTTGTTATGATGAGCAAAACAAAACAAAAACCCAAAGAGGACAACTTCTAAAGCTCAAACTGTCACACTTCAAACAATAGCCTTGTTTGTTGACATGTCCAACGACATTTGGGGAAGAATTAATCCCATCATGGACAAGGAAATTAGATTTTGTTCTGTGAATGATGGTGAGAAATTGAGTCTTTGTGCATCATTTTAAAAGACCTGCATATGTATAGTGAGAGCAAGTTGAGCTGCAGGAATGAAACACTGCTGCTTCAATTTCAGAAGGTCGTTTGCTTGAATCCTCTGTCAATTTTGTAAATATAGGACACCTGACAAGATATTCATTTACCGTAAGTTTATTTCTCAGTGCATTACATGAAAGGTCTTTGGTATTTGTGGGTTCTTGAATACTGCTCCCACTCTGTTCTGTTAGAAAATGCTGAATACAAAACATTCCATATACAGTAACAAACCCCATAGCAAATAAAGAGAAATAGATACCTTGAACAATAACATAGCAATATGAAAACAGGTAAGTAACCATGCAAGCGGTGGAACAAACAGGTCGTGGTTTTTTTTTGCTCCACTGGTAAAGTCTGACAACAAACATTAGAGCCTGCCATAAATGAGTTCATCATGTCAGAAGAGATTTATTTCTGCTCTAAGTTAAGAACTTCTTATATGTAATCACAAGACACTGTATATGGCTGCCCTATAAGAGACCAAATGGTTGCATAAGCTTATTACAAGGAGAGATGCTGGGAGCACTTGCACACATACAAAACACACCGATATAAATAAAAAATACTGTGTAAAGTAACTAGTGAAAAAGTTAACATTTTCTTCTCTGAGTGGGTATTTGCTTTGTGGACAATTATAGCACCATAGAATTGCTTGATTTCAAAGCAATCACAGAAACTGCAAGTAGTTCAAACCCTTTTACCACCAAACACCTTACTGGAATGTCATAATAATAATAATACAGAGTTTGCAATTGTGAAACAGAGTGAATTTCCCAGAAATTGTACTGAGACATAATTCCAGAAGCTGATTGTCTTTGGGAAGCCTTGTCACAGTGGTTAGGTTCCTACATCAAAACAGTTCATTTCAGAGATTGGGAGTGAACCAGGATCCCAGCTCCTGGGATCAGGACCAAAGTTTCAGGAAGCCTGAGAGCTGTCTGGGCTGCTCTGCCACAGGCATCCCTGGCTTCTGGGAGCTCAATTTTTACAGCCTGTCCCTGCTCCTATATTAAAGCTTATGGCAAGCGTACTATGGAGCGTGGTGGGAGCAGACGAGGACTTTTCTCTCTAGTTTATTCCTGTTTCCCTGGGTTTCTCTCAGTTCTGTACAGGAAGTGCAAATTGGATACTCTGGAGAGAAGCATTCTTCAACTCCCAGGAGCACCAGATTGCTGGTGAAGATCAGGGTGCACAAATAACAAAGATTTTAAAAGTTGTGCAATATGTTGTTGCTGCTTCTAGTTAGCTCAAGGCAAGGAAAAAGCATTACTACTACCAGAACCTATCCAAGTCAAAAACATACTGGAGCTCAAAGAAACATTAAGAATTTCAAAGAAGTCTGAAAAAAAAAGAAAAGGAAGAAGAAAAAGAACACACTATGGTATTGCACAGTATGCATGTAAGATAAAGCACTAAACATTTCAAAATATATTTCTAAATAAGCACACATCCCAAATAAATCCCCTCTAAGTAAGTTACACAGATCAAGATGCATATAAGCCCTGGCTAAAATGAATTTTAGTATCCTGCCTAAGATGGAAAATGTGGTTGGAGTAGTTTGCCTAGTTATGAAGATAATTAATGATAATTAATGTCAGTGTGGGGCTGTGTTCGCTTTAAAATATCTTTAAACTGGGACTGCACAACAGTGTGGTCCAACTGTTGTGTAAGTTTTGAGGAATGAACCCCCTGCTGACAGAAAGTCCATTTGGTATAATCCTGCTATCACCAAAATTAAAGATACAGTATTATATTAAAAAAGAGATGTAGCTAAATAAAGAAGGATGGGAAGCTCGTTATAGGAATCCAGAGAAGTCGATAATTAGAACCACTGCAGCCTGAGCCTAACCAGTTGTTGGACAATCAGATTGGCAGGATTAATTGCAAAAAACCTTTAATTAAATTTCTTTCATCTTGCCAGTAATTTGTTTCAAATAAGTTAAAATGCAAAATCCTGGTCAAATGTGAAAGGTCACCTGTTTTGGGGCAGCTGGTTAGACTTCTAAAGGACAGGGCCAAATGAATGCATATGGTGCACATCGTCATTCTGAAGTAGCTTTAACTTCTTTATTTCTGAAAATATAATGTTCCTGAAAGGAAAAATTGGGCTGTTCTGGTGTCTCTGTAAGTCTACCACATTCACAGTGTACCCAGAAAGCTAACATGATGTGAGACTAATGTCAGTGGGCAGAGCTCCTGCAAGCCAAGCCGCACTTCCAGCAGTTCCCACTTGCTTCCCTTTCCCTCTGGAATATCATGCTGGGTCATAGGTGTCCTTCCTGAATACATGGACCATAGAGGTGTTGGTCTTTTCCAGAACTTTTGACGGATATACTTGTAGGAGTACACATTGTCTTTTTCAGATAGCTGTATCTTGCACTAGGAGCTAGATGGGACCTGACAAATTTACTTTCTTATGCCATGTGGTATTCCAAAGATAATTTGCACCTGGGCTGGATTTGAAAATCTGACAGAAGAGTAAAAAAAATCTATTTAAATAAAAATAGTAATATCAGTTTATTACTCTCACCCTTTTTAACAAATTCCGTGTCTATGTGAATGACATGGACTTCTCCAGGTTGGTTTGCTCAGCAGGTACCATGATTCATTTATCACCGATGGGCAGGTTCAAACTCTTAAATCTGGCAACTAGGACTTTCCCGAAAATAACAGTTATTGAAAAAAGTAAAATGACTTTGGATTTAACTCCTTAGTGCAAAATGAGCTACTGACAAATCTCTAATCTCTTAGTGGCTTGCTGTTACACTATCTCACAATTCAAATGCCAAGCCTCTACCCACAAGATAAAACAAAACAGTGTCAGAATATTTTTTCCTTACTGATCTAGAGTTAAGAAACTACTAAAAAACACCTTTTTTTTCTGTGAATATTTATTGACAGTGTTTTAATGTTTTTTTTCTGGATCCATGCACAAACTGAACACAATATGAGAAAATTATTGTGCAATTCCATCATAACTGATACATACTGCTATAAATTTTCACAGAAATGATTGTAATATCATCTGAGTATAGATAGAAAGTCAATGTATGCTGTAATTTGCACCTGAGGCCCTTGCTCAGCTAACCATAGATAGGAATGTCTTTCACATGCAATCAACAAAATGCAAAGCTTAGATTTTGATGCTCATGTCCCAAGAGCAACCTGAATTTTCAGAGTAACTATTTTAAATATTCTTTGAATCCCCCTATTTATTTTTGATTTAAGAGAAATTCTTGACAGTGAGAATGCTTTAGAGGTCCATGAAAGGCAAGGGGAGGATAAAACCATTGGTCACAGTCAGGTGGTGTCATTTCTGTAGACAGCTTCTGAGGACACCTGCCAAGTGGTATTCCAAAGACAAAAAAAAAATAATAAAATCAAGAAAAATGTTTGTAAGACCCTCTCTGAGCTATGGCTAAGACATTCCTTGTAATAAGGGCTTAGTGTTGATCAGGTAAAGAAACCTGGCTGCCAATGCTGCAGCCTCTTACCCTCTTCATTTGCACTTTGCAATTAAGCATAGGATACTGTATCTTTAACTGGTGAGCAGGCTTGAAGGACACGTAGGTGCTTCTACTTCATTCGACTGCTTCTCCTTCTTGCTTCACTGTCATCTAGCAGTGAAGAGAGGATCTGATAGGGCTGCAGCTGCTGTGGTCCTCCACGCTTGATCTTGATGCTGGTTTGCAGCGGGGAGCCGGGGATCACGTCTTGTCCAGAGCCTGGCTCAATGGAAGATAAAGAGTCTGTAAGGAGAGAAAGTCACGGGAGAGGGCTATTTAACAGGGGAGCCTAAGGAAAGAGTAAATGGGCCCTTCTGAACGTTGTTTCTTCTGTGAGGAATTGCCTTCCCTGCACCTCTTTTTTTCCCCTAAACCATTGGTGAGCTACACGGTTGCTGCCATCACACTACTACACTATTAGGTCCTGTCCTTGGCTTGAAGCTCTCAGACAGGAATATTGCTGCACGCAGAACTACAGCTCCTGTTCCTCCTTGTGACTATAACGCACTGCTCTTAACCTTACTTTATATCAATCTGTTTGGGCTGTGACTGTGATTTAGCAATGCCCAGAGCCTCCTGCTACTGAAATACAAGGCTTCACCAAATGGCCACTGAGAAGTGACATTCCTGAGGGCTTAAATACCATTTCACTCAGTGAAAAGGTGGACTTACCGTGGCACTGAAAGGACTGAATGACCACACTAGGCTACAGGCAACTTAGTGATATGTCTGGGACTATATATATATATATACATATAGTCTGTCCATTTTCACAGCATGTCTCTCATTAACCCACCCTTTCTCTTTCCACAGTGTCCTGCTCTATGAAGCTAAATATACATCGAATATGCCTATTCTTACTTCTTCCCAGGAATCAGCAATGCACCCTGCTAGCTCCTGTGCTGCCTCATCATTTTAAAGCCCTGCTTTCTTTTTCCCTTCACCTCCACAACTGGGCATCTACTCGTTTCCCTGACAAGAGTCCAACCTTGCAAGCCAAAAATCCAGTCCTGGTCCTGTCCTGGGAAGCAGCAGGGCTTGTTCAGGGGAGCAGTTGGTTAACGTAGGGTTTGGGCTGTGTTTGCTGGCAGGCAAAGCTGCCGAATCCTTTGGGCTCCTCTGTGCCCTGCAGGGCTGCTCTCTGCAGGCCGCTGCTCCAGAGCATCTTGTTTGTTGGTCTGTTTTGCCTTGTTGCCTAGATGGTTGTGGTTTTGGAAATCACATTGATGGTGAAGTTTCTTGGGAAAAATGAGAGCATGTGGTTGGCATTTCTGCGTGGGTCTTTCAATGAGGGAGGAATTGGTCTACCACAGGACCTGCGGTAAAATTCCTAACAACACCTACAGTGGGAACAGGACCAGATAGTTGGTGCTGGGAGATTTAAACCTGTGTGGTGCCTTTCACTGCAGGAGCGGTCAAGGAAATGCTGTTTTGGTATTTTATATCTTTGCTTATTTTTTTAACCAGGTAACACATACAAAGATCAGAACAATCACACAGAAAAAAAATGACTTACTTTTTCCAATTTTTTTTTTTCTAAACAGCATTTTTTTTTTGCTTAAATATGTCATAAGTTAAAGAGTGGAAAAGTTTCAGAAGCATAGAAGATAAAAAAAAAAAAAAGGAAGCATTTATATAAAGTCATGCAACATAGGTGTTTAAACATGGCCTTAACTACACTGTACAGTTAAACACCACCCGTTTTGGCTGATGCAGCTACGCAGGTATAAATGTATACATGGGTATAAATAACTCACCTTCTTCCCAAGCAATAACAGAAAGTCCATTTATGTCAGTGAAAATGGTTTGCTAAAATGACTGTTCTAAAATAACAGCCTGACATGCCTCATTCTTCTGAAAAGCCAAACAGACAACGTATATAGTGGATAAAGTAGGCAGTTCTGTGGGGTGGAGGCCTTTAAGTCATGTTGAGTACCCAGTTTTGAAAATCCTGGTTAAGGAGCTAAATGACTGGTTTAGGAGACCAGGCCAATGTGCTTGAACCATCAAGCAGACCCTTAATAGTCTTCCAGCTGCCTAGAAAACATGAACGCTGCTTACCATGAATTCCTATCATGTGCTCAAGAATTAATACCCTCTCGGCCAAAATCTTCAGAGCTTCTCTAAGTTGCTGAACACCTTCTCCCTGCAAGGAGAGAAACAAAAACAAAACAAAACTTACATTGCTATATGTTTGCAGAAGGGCTTCTTGTTCATTTTACATGTGCTCAGGCTTTTGCCCCCATTACCCTAGATAGGGGTCTTAAGGGATAGACTGATGGTGGAAAGATTTTTGTGTGGAAGAACAGAGATCTGAGAATTCCAGTTCTCTGCATGGACAGTTTGATCTCTTTTGTATATGTGGTCCTTAGCAGTAGTATGGTGTGAGTATCTCCCTACCTAGGAGCACTTTTGTGTGGAGAAATAACCCTTAAGGACTGAGGAGATGTTCAGATTGCAGATGACAATATGGTCAAGCAGACCTCAGGGACCTTGATTTTTAGTCTGTAATAGGTTTGTGCTCAAAGTTTACACCATTTGTTTACTTGTTCTTCTAACTTTGAACAGGACTCCTGCCTCTCCAGACCAGCTTGAAAAGGAGAACATGGCCCTAAGGAGAGTACAGAGACAAAAGAGTAAGTAAAACAGTAGAAATACATGCTTACATCGGCACCTTTATCACCTTCCTCACCCTTCTTGCCTGGTTCACCCTAGAACAATAAAGAGAAAATTGTTTTCATGTGAACAAGGAACAGACAGGATTGTGCACGATCCTTCATATTCCCTTCCTCCCTCCAAATTTAAAAAAAACACAAAAGAGCTTAATCAGCAGAAAACAAACTTTCTGGCACTTCAGGCCAAGGGCTGAAGTGAGCTAGTGAGCTCTGTTGTGGCTCCTGGGGGCACCACCACCATTTCTACCACTGGTGAAGTTGGTTTGGGGTGGCCAAAGCCATAGGATGTTTGCATTGCAATGAAAGGTGGGCTGGCTGCCATGGTCTGGCTGCTCAACCAAAACTACACACATCTCGAGAAGCTCTCAGTGAGAACTGCTAAGTTCTGGAATGGAAGCAGTGCTCTCCTCTCCCAAACATGCTTTCACTTCTTATTTAGAACACAAAATCCTCCTTTCTACTTTCAGTCATTAGTCACATCATTTTCGGCCACTGAAGATTCTCACTAGATTTTCTTGAACAAAGATCCCTATGTTCTGTGTATGCTGGTCTGATAGCATGAAAGTGCATGCAGTTCCCAAAGAATAGATGACATGGAAAGAATAAACCACAAGCTAAACATAAGGCAAGGGAAAAGCCTAATAAATTGCTGAATAAAATAAACTGGAAATGCCTGGACTCCTTAAACTTGCTGGACATCCCCAACATGTTTGGAAAGCAAGGTGGGGATGGGAGGAAGGAATCAAAGAGACGAGGCGGAACTAAGGAAGACAGGATCCTTCTAGAGGATCTAGGCCCCCTCTGGATACTTCAATCCAATAAAACCAACTTGCTCACTTTCACCCAACATTCATCTCTACCAATTGATTTTCTTCCTAGCCCTGTGTATCAGTGCAGTTACCTCCTCTTTGTATCTGTTCAGTTGTTGCCTAAAAATCATTCAGAAAAAAACTATTATGAGATTAGCAGCCCAGTTTTTCAGACCCCTTGCAAGAAGGTGTGCAGAGAACCTGTTGTACTTTAGTTTGCTTAATAATATCCATCGTTGGGCTCTGGTAATATCAGGAACTTCACTGGGGAAGGTGGGATGAAAGGGGTTTCTGCCTACAAAAGTTGGACTAGAGAAGATCTGTTAGGGAATCTCTTCTCCGTTGACATGACTCCTTTCTAATTGCTATTCTCCACCTCTGACCCTCCCCCCCCCATATTATTTTATTGCTGACTGCCCCATTAACAAAACACCCCAAGCAGAAACCAGCCTGGTAAATCTGCAGCTCTCGGAGTACAGATGCCACCTTGTTTTGTGCTGTGGAGTCAGGAATTGCTCCATGCTGCCACAGCTCTACCAACATGGCTTACAGCAAGGATCCTCCACGCCTGATGGAACCAGTGGGAATCTGCCTGGCTCATCCTCTGTGCTGAATTTACCATATCATCTTCTAGGTCTGGCAGGAGGCGCTGCAGCTGGAAGGGCACTTTGGTGACAGCTTCCACCCTGGCACCACCCAAGCTTGCGGTGGGCACAGGTAAAAAGAAACTGTGAAAACTTCTTTGGGCCTCTCTTGTGAACTCTGCACTATACTAAATATGCAGGAAGATAGTGTCTCATTTAAGGTAAGGTCCTTGCCTGAAAAAAGTCATTGAACTGGAGACTTAAGTGTTGTATCTGAGCTAGTTGAACCAGCTGCAAAACTGGAGACTTAAGTGTTGTATCTGAGAGAGCTAGTTGAACCAGCTGCACTCCAGCAATGTGGTGTTTAAGGTGCCAGACATGCCAGGCAGGTACCAAAACCATCTGAGTCTTGAACACACCCACAAATACATCACTTACAGGAAATCCCTTAATGCCCCTCTCTCCAGTCAGACCTGCTTGCCCCTGTTGGAAATAAAGTAAGTGCCATTAGGAGATATTTTTCCATTTGACAAGAGCATAATGTAATTTTACTAGTGGAATTAAGATGGCTTAATGAAAAACCTTACACTTGGGATAATATGAAGACATTTCTTTCCCTTGACATTATCACTTAGAGACAGCAAAAGGGGTCATGGTTTCTGTCAAGCATGAGCTCCAAATCCTATCACACTTTGAAGAAGTTTGGTTAGATATAGAAATACTCAGCTCAGTACCCTCTCAGTAAGATGATTTGCACTTTTTTGAACTTTAAAGCAGTCAGTTACACTATATCAGGAAGGAATTTGGCTGGAGATTTGTTTCTTACAAAGATACAACATTCTTCTCTCCAGTAAATGGACAGGTTGCTGCTGCCCCAGACAGCAAGCTGCAGAGCTCTGAACACCCACTGAGCACTGGTTTATACACTGATTTAATCTGTCTCTTGCTCTGCACATACATTCCTGCATTAAATCCAGCAGCTACTGATCAAAACATATGCACAGAAACACTTTGCAATGGCATGTGTTGGTTTGAGGTGGAATGAAGTGTCAGAATAAGCATTTTCTTCCCCATTTTTCTCCTCTGCTTTTATTCCCCACTGCCAAGCACCCTGGGGCTGAGGCAGAAAGCCCAACCTGGGGAACACTTCTGAATTATTTCACAAAAGCAGGAACTGGGGGAAAGGAGGTAAAATTTCAAAGCACCTTTAAAAATCCATTGACAAAACAGTCACATATTTAACCCATACTCAGAAAAAACCCTCTATTTTCACTCCAAAAAAAAAAACATCCAACTGGCAACAGCTCCTTTACAGGGGTTGCAAGAAGGGAAGAGCTGTTACTGTGTCCAGTCAGTCTGCTGCTTTGTATAAAACCCCAAGCCCTGGGCATCTACCAAAACATGACTACAGAGACTGGTGCCATGCTGAGCGAGGAGCCAGACAGCACTGGGCACATGAAGAGCATTGGGAATATGGTCTAATTTGTCAGGTACTGCTGCTGCCTGCAAAAGGAAATACCTGGCTTCTGCACTGGAGGGGATAAGGCCTGTGAGGAAGCCCTGGCAAGCAGCACATTGCAGCAAGGGACTCACAACACACTCTAAATACATAAACAGGTTGCCCTCTGTGTCCACTGGGAATGGGAAAAGATGTTATCAGCTTAAAGGGGATCAAAAATTACGTAGATTGGATGTCAGGAATGTCTGTTAGCCCAGTCCTTCCCTCGCAGCACCACTGCAGATTGCTTGGAGATGCTGTGGAGGGTCCCTGACTGCATGTGCTGCAGAATAAAATGAGCAGATGTTGACTGTGAAAGGCAAATGCAGAGCTGTGCCATCCAGGGGACACACTGACTGCCTCAGGTCTCCTCTATATCTATTCCCTATAAGATGAAGCAGGCAGAAGATATAATGACATTTTCTCATATGTCAATAGATATTGTAAAGCCTCTTTTTTTTGTTGTTGTTGTTGCACCAGCTGCACAGTTCCTCTGTTCTGTATAACGCTAGCCCTAATTTGTATCCGCCACACCGAAAATTGCAGCATGCAGTTGTCAAAAATCAGCATTCCAATCCACATTCACAAAAGAGGTCGTTCTCAAAAATACACAAAACAGGCTGCTGAAATTCTGCCACAAAAAAAGCTATCAGCATCACTTTCCAAACTAACAGAGTAAGGACCAGAAAACACAATTTATTTTTAATGATATTCAAAAATCCCATTTATCCTGAACCTAGGCAAGTTGCATTTCAAAATCTCTACAAGCAGTGAACAAAACCAGAGCCTAAGGGATTCATTTACACCTCATCCAGTCAAAAAAATCCTCTCAAAGGCATAGTGCAACAAAGCATTTGTTTCAAAAGAAATGCAGTCAGACTCTTAGCAGTCTGGTCAACCACAAATTAGATGATGCTGCTAAATGAATCATTGAGGAAGAGCTCTTATCATTTTTCTGGTAGAAACTTGATACTTTGCCCTATACTCAGCTTTGGTTTTTTTTTTAACCCTCCAATACTGGGTAACTTGGGCTGCAATTTCACTAGTTAAGGTTTTAACATTTATCAGACCCCTAAATATCACTTCCAGAATTGCCCCAGGGTCTAGTGTATTAGTAAAGTCAGCAAATGCTCAGAGTGAGTGATCTGCACTAGGACGTTCTTATTTAAAAAGTCTGCAGGCATATGTCATTTTAGAGGTACAACTTAACATACTTCCCCTCATCTTTCTTTGGATCTTCTCCACACCTGGCTCTTAGCAATAGTCAACCCTCCAACAGTGCCAGTTTCCACATGCTGCAGATCTAGCTGACAAATGACTGCCCACTCCCTTGCTAATGACTGTCCCTACCCATATGCTAAGAATTCGAAAGAGTTTGAGCAATTAATGCATCTCAGAAGAGAGTTTAAGGACCATTGTGGCATGCTGCTTTGAGAATAAGCTTAGCAGAAGGTCCCACTACCACCTTTACCATAGCAGGTACTTGAAAACTGGATGGGGAATCTGACAAAGATATGCAGAAAAATCTTACTCTCTCTCCTCGGTCTCCCTTGGAACCTTTTGGCCCAGGTTGTCCTGGAGAGCCTGGCAAACCCTAGGAGATATGCAGAAAAGAAGGCATTAATTTCTACTGTGCATCCTTTGCATAAATATAGTGAGTACATTTCCCAGTGATCCTCAGCTCCTGAAAAATTCATACACCCATTAAGTGATTGGGCTGGATTCTCTTTTGCCATGTAAGTCACTGATGTAGCATTTGGCAATGGATCAGTAGGACAAGGTTGCTCTTGTTCTCAGTTTTCCTGAGAAAAATATGTAAACAGACACTATGGCTAACCTAAAAGCTCCCAGTATTTTCCCCCTGTTCATGGCAGCCTCAGTGAGTGGCATGAGGAAGTATACATACCTGAAAATTAATCGGACCGTGCAGCGGAAATTATTTTGAAGCGATTTACTCACCCTAATAAACAATTTTCAAATTAAGCTCTATCTCTACTAATAATTTTGCTCCCTGGGCTGAATAAATCTATAAAGCAGTCACCAATGGATAAGAAGGGCATGTTCTCCAGACTTCTACTAATTGCACTGCTTTGCAGAAATCAATCCAAACTCTTAAATCACCCACCCAATAAAGCCTCAGTTGAGGACAGAAAGGCAGCAAACATCACTTTATAGTTCCTATGTCAGCTCCTCAGCTCCTTATAGCTATATGTGCAAGGTGCTTTTCTCCACCTTAAGTGACTCTCTAACACCTTGGACACTATAGAGCAGGCAATAAGACTACTGCTGCATCCCAAAACACTGGTGATTTAAACTAAACTGCATAATAACAGCCCCCAGAAAATACCCCTCTCAGCATCCACAGAAATGGGCTTCCCATGGGACTGAAGGAGCTGGGAGGCAGCAACGTTCCCCCTCAGCAGCTGCTCAGCCCTGTCTCCCCACCCAGGGGATGAGCAGCTCAAACCTCTTTTGGAGGATGGTAAACAAGCTGGGGGACAACCCAGGCTTGGCCCTAGGCCAAACATGCAGCATGGGCAAGCCCAAGGGTCCATAGGTGCCCTTTGCACTTGCCAACCTCAGTAGTGACCTCGGTGCTTTTTTACAAAGGGATGTTGAAGAACACTGAATTCAGTAAATCTGTCAGAAAAAAAAATACTATGTATGCTGTACATGAAAAGCCAGACTCTGCTACAGATCCAGTTTTGCCCATGTGAATTACCATGTGCTTAATCACGCCAAGTGCAGCTGTCATTTTGCTGCCAAATTTCCCCACTGTGTTCATATCTATCTGGAGTTTCTTGTGGTCCTCCAGAGCCTTCCTTAACTGAAACGATTCTGCTACACTGACAAAATTTCACTAATTTACTGTCCATTGCTTCTTCCAAGTGATTAATAAATAGATAGCAATATCCCATTTCTCTAATTTCTAGCAACCTCAAGTCTCTTCATATTGGGATCTAAGTGACATTCCTCAGCTAAATTACTTAACTCTCATGCTCTCTCCAATCACTTTCACGTTTTTAGGCCTTTGAAATATTTGGTGTTAACAGCCAACCCTCTCATTAAGTAACATTCTTCCTTAAACCAGAATCCCCTCATATCAACTAAACACCGTTTTGAGCAGTTCTGCAGTTCACTTTTTCTTCACATTCATCATGACTTCATTTTTTTTCCATTTAACCATGTCTTTTCAATCCACATGACTACTTTGTCCTTCTCCCACAGCAAAAGCTTTTTGAGCAACTTCATCACAATCCATGATCACTCCCCACCACAGTTTTTGCATTGATAATTCAACAGGAGGACTGATGGGAGTTTGCAATATTTTTCTCAAAAAGTGCTTTTTCGGAAAATCAGGCTCAACTACAGCAAATTCCCATGGGTGCAGTACTTTTCTTTTTGTGTATTCCACAAGAAATAATAATATTTTTCTATGATTGTGCTGGCATAGCCCAAGTCTCTGTGTTGCATATTTTCTTTTCTGAATATTACACCACTTAGTCCTTCAAAATGCTCCTAAAGGCCACCTGTCCTGTGCCAGCACAGGGTCTTTGGTGGCATCCCAGAGGAGGTTCTGACTGGCTGAGAAACCTCTGTAAAATTGAGGCTTGATGTAGCATAGGGCCCTGGGAAGTTCATGGCGTGGGCGGTTCTCCACTGCTGATCCCACTAACACAAAATATTTTGCATTAGTTAAGGCCATAGCAAAGTATTTTGATGCACCGACAGTAAAATGCATTGTTATTGAGGGACATTTAAGGATTAAGGGACAAGTTTGGTAAGTCTAATTATTCCAACTTCCCATCCCAATCCAGGATGAAACGCAGGTATTAAAATCCCAGAATTTTATGGAGGACAAAACGTCAGTTCTAAAATATACAGCACTGTCTCTCTGTAATGAGAAGATGCTTCACCTCCAACCTCTGACTTTTCCCCACCACAAAAGCACTAAAATGCCTTACTTGCAGTCCAGGGGCTCCGATAGGTCCCGGCGGCCCTTTGGGTCCTGATGCACCTGGTGGCCCTGGTGAGAATCATCATTTGAGGCAATTTTAAGGAGATTTAGAAGGAAGGACCCTTAATTCCAAACATATGCACTTCCTCCCATTGCTCTGCTGAGTCTCTCAATGGAAAAGAGCCATTGATCGATCGCAGGGCTACAGCAGAAGCACTCTCATCACACTCTGGATTCCTGGATACCCGCATCCTGATGTAATATATCTCTATGCCCTAGGGAAGACCTTAGAGCTCTGGAAAAAAGGGAGGGGGAAGGATGCCAGCACCATGCTATATTTCCATTTCCTTCCAAATGAGAGTTTTTCAGGAATCTTAAACTAGATCCATGAAACAGCTACATCACAGCAAGATACTGTAGTTGCTGTTTTTAAAGCAGGAAGGGTCCCACAGGTGGAAATCAAAGTCCCCAGGGTAGCTTAGGGTCTGACTCTCTAGCTTTGCCTGAAAGTTGATGATGAACATTCAGGAAATGGGATTTGGACGTTGCTGAATGAGAGGCTGACTGCGGCAAAGTGCGCTTTTCATCTTTGCACACTCACTCCGGTAGCAAGAAGTTCTTTTTAAGGCTCCACCATGGAGCAGGGTGGTTCTGGAAAAGTTAAATATTGCCTGAGCAGGCCAGGTTGTTTCATACAGTCACTTAACAGCTTCGTTCCCCTTGGAAGAAAATAATTATATCTGAACAGTAGCTGTTAAATTATACCTGCAAAGAGGAGACAGGATATTTGCTCAGCCCAAACTTATTAATACTCCTCTCTGCTTTAGCTGTCACAGCCCTTGAGACGAAATAATGTGGACATTATGCTCATAACGTACAGCTGAATCAGCCACAATCATTAATGCACCATGCAAATGTCTAAATCAAAGAATAAATGAATCGAAGGATAAATGAAAGGCCCTTATAATAAAAGGGAAAGCCTTTTCTGCAAGTGATGGGAGTTCACTGCTAAATACACTTCATACGGCGAAGTGCTGATGTTTGCAGGAATATTATCATTTAAACTACTCTTTAGCTTTGAAAAACAGAAGACTTGCCATAGAATTCTCATCCCAGATTCTCATCTCGGTTATGCTGGTGCAAATCTGGAGTAGCTCAAAATAGCTCCAAAGCCTGCAAACTTTGCATAAATGTCACTGAGAACAGCTGGCCAGATTCTACTCAACACAGCACTGCTCAAAAATAATCCACTGGTTGGACCATTCTTAAAGATGCTCTTTAGGTATCATCTTCTCAAGAGGTGCCAATAGGTATCCCTCTTCACTGCCAAAGTGTCAAGGAATCTTTGAGGCTAAATCTACCATTACCAAAGGGTATGAAAACTGCTTATTTTCCCCTACCCTTCCATGCTCCAGGATTCACAACTCAACTGCCCTTCCAGTGAGGGCCACTTGCTCCCCACCACAAGGTGAAACCCGC